ACAACGAGGAAATTTTGGCGCAAAAGACGCTGAATGAGAAAGTAGGAAGCGTGCAAAGCTATTTGTTATATTTACATAAAAGTGCGAAAACGTATAGGAAGGAGAATCAGTCAGCCGAATGTAAATTCGGTTTATGAGTTATACATGTGTTCGATGACTGTTGATACTTCCGTGAGTTACTAGTAAGCGGTTCTATTAATTGAAAAAGAGTTAATTTGAAAGTAGTTTGTGTTTAAGTTGCTATGCGGTAAGATGTGATGCTTCTTGTTCAAACAGCATCTGTAGGTTCGTGGAAACTGCATTCTGTAGAAAGCATGGTGTTTGAGTATTTCAATCAAAAAAAATTTTTTTATTTGCGTTTAAAACACTATATGTGACAATAATAATAATAATAATTACAGATCGCCGCGCTTTAGATCGGCGCGTTCAGTTTTCCCCGTCGCGCGGTATTCTTCTAAAAGGTTCGTCATCAAGCGAACTGTTTCTTCACTTGCGCGGCGCCTTCTTCCTGGTTTGGCGGTGGTGGTGGCTGCGCGAGGCGCTCGGACGGTGGCGGCGTAGTTTGCCGCGCAATTTCTTCAAGAATCCGTTCCCTGCAAATTGAAATTTTGAATAAAAATGCACACGGATTGTGATGTGCAGCCTTCATAAGATGCGAAACAATTCCGGCAAAACGTCTTACAGGACTTCCAGCATAATTCGAAGACCTTGCCGGAACTGATCGGGCTGCGCATCTGCAGCCTGCCGCTGCCGCTGCTCCTGCTGTCGATCTTACCCCGGCTAATATCTTTGCGGTGGGTGTTGGTCTTCCGGACCGTCTCCTCCTGCGACGTGCTGCAGCTAAAACGCAAACAGTTTCAGTGAGCAATGCAAGCGCTCGCAACTTAATTATTTTTTCCGTTCCTGACCCACCAGCTTAAATTTTGCTAAATAATTGAGAATACTTCCATTACTGGAAAATTGTTATGATTTAGAAGTGATCTGACGACAGAGTCTGAGCCTTCAAAATAAACGTGAACGAAGAGCAAAAATTTTCGATATTCTTGTGCGGCGCATTTTATAGCATATCAATTGTAAAAACTAGGTGATTTCGCTACGAACCTAGAAGATGGTTGCATAGCGCGTACGCGATTTTCGAACTGCGTTTTTTAACTGCGTTTTGAAAGCTAAATTTTGTTTTCGTGTGCTGCCCTAGAAACGAAGTGATTATTACCCAATTCCAGTGCCAGGCTTCTGACGAAACTATTTTTTGAACTACAAGTGGACTGAAGGGATGACCAGAAAGATTCAAACTTACGGTGCGTGCTGCATTTGCATTATTCGTGGCTGAGGGCATATTCAAATGTAGTAATAGATAGGAAAGTCTGGGACTGATGTAGTAGGAAGTAGTTAAAAACAGGGAACTGGAGGAACACAACAGATCGAGCCTTAGAGCACCGTCAACGGTCACAAAATTATGTCTTGCTTATCGCGAAACCACAGATACTTAGCACTTAAGGAGTTTTCCGGCTCCACCTAGTGCACGCTGCAGTCTCCTCCCTTCTACCGGATTGATTGTTGCTCTGGTCATTCCTTAACAGTGTTATTCGCAATTAAAGGTTTTATTTGACGCTCCTGTTGATAGACAACTAAAGATAATTGAGTATTTTACGGCTACTCTAATAGACCTGAGATTGAGCTATTTTCCTTTTGGTTTTACTCCTACTTTGCCCTCTTCAGTTTATTAACATCTGAATACGAAAGCTGCAGAAAAAGTATCGCGCAAAAAAGCTCGAGAGAGAGAGAGA